ATTAGTCCACCACTGCTGACACCCCTAGTGCTCTATTAATAAATGGATTCAGTTWCACTGGCAAAACTTGTTGCTGCACCAGAAAATGAACTGCTACAGCTTTATTCACATCAGCAGCTCAAAATGTCTAAACACAATCTGATTTCAGCCGCCACATTTTACAGAAAAAAAGACGTTTTTTTTTTCTTTGTTCTTGATGACCAATCCAATCACCGCGCGCARGGTCAACCCGCAGCCAATCAGCATCCACATTACGCGTCTACTCTGCGGCCGCAGCGCACGAGGCGACCTCCGAAACTCATTTATTGGTCCAACTTTCAGATATTATTCCGCGTCCTTCTCCGGGCCAATTAATTTAAAGAGTCCATTTAGGGTTAATATGACCAAACTCTTGTTGGCTTGTAGAGTTGTTGAATCTCTGAGYCAAGGATGCATGGTTGGCAGAAAACTGGGAAACACGTCGGGCTGCCTGACGCTTCAAACCGCAAAACTCTTTACTTTGAAGGTAAGAAAACAAGCTGCGAACAAATGGGGCTTTCATTAGAGACGAACGCAGAAAACGAACTTCAGAAGCACTTCTTGTTGAAAATGACGTCACCACAGACCAGGCTTCATAAAGAAATCTCCAAATTCTGCCGTTTCTTGCGTATAAGTTTACTTGTAAGCAATTAAAATAAATAGTTCGCTTGTTACCTTAAAGAATAGAAGCTATTCTTTTATTCGGCGTAGAGTTTGCAAAATACATTTTATTTTAGGTGAACATAAAGTTGCAAAAAGTTAATGTAAGASAGAACCGCATGAGAAAGTTGTAAGACTAGAAAAGCTGCTATCTGGGTTAGTCATTACCTTTTATTAAATTGTTCAATTTAATGAGACTTTATTTGCCACTATGAGAATATGTCAGGTAAATTCATGATACTGAAAAGCTTGGAATGGACAAATCAAACATGCAGTGTATTAGATTGCGTGCGTTTCAACGAGATGCTGCGTGTTGAGATTCTCAGCTGTCATGTGCAGCTGCTGGACTTGGGCGCATCACTTGCGCAATTCACATAAAGTGTGGCATAATAGTTGAAAGACAACGATTGTTCATTTCAAATAATCTCTCAGAGCAGGAAATTACCCAACAATTATGTACAAAAATACTGTGCATCTCTAACATGTTGGTATTTTAGAGGTGTATAATAAATAATTTTCTGCCATATGTAAAAGAAAAGTACTAAGTCACACATTTTAACTTGATTATGAAGTCCATGTCACATAGGTTCACACACATGTTTACAATCACATTTATCTCTCCCTCCACCTAGTCTTTAAGCATAGGCGCTCACTCACGCTTGTGCACACAACAGTTGAAGAGATTTGTCTGTCTCAGCATTCGCAGCACATTTCTCAATGACCTGCAGTTTCAGCACAAAGTCCCACTGGATCACTGGTTGCCATCCCTCCTACTCTCAAAATCTACAGCACGTCGTCYTCTTCTTCTTCTTCTTTTCAAAGTTTTGCTTTTTGTCTGTCCAAAGTCGGTTTATAAAAAGAGAATGCATTATTCTTGGGTGAGATTTCACTTGTCATCTGCCTGCTTTCTTTTAACTCGCAGGCTCAGACAGCCCACCTGGTCTTGGAAGATGGTACCAGGATGAAAGGATTTTCCTTTGGGCGCAATGCTTCTGTAGCTGGGGAACTTGTCTTCAACACTGGCCTGGTTGGGTAAGAATACTTGCTGACTTGTGTAGTAACATCATTTAATCTCATAAGAATAATAAAAAAGAAACAATAGACTTATTAGATTTTAGGGGGAAAAACAACTACACCAGGAAATAAATTATTTTATACCACTTWGACTTGATAGTCTTGTTCAAAGTGGGTTTATTTTGTTTGAAAAGTTTTAACATCAGAATGTTATTGCTTCATCACAACACAGTATCATGTGTTTGACTGTGGTTTCCTTGCTTTAGCTATCCTGAGGCACTGACCGACCCCAGCTATAAAGGTCAGATCCTGACCCTGACTTACCCAATTGTTGGGAACTARGGGGTGCCTAACACGCAGGAGCTGGATGAGCTTGGTCTGAGAAAACATGTGGAGTCTGACTGCATTCAGGTAAAGCAGCTCTGGCTCCAAACTTTCTGTTTCAAAAGAGCTTATTCCTCTTAGGTTTGTCAGTAATGCTTGTTTTAATGCATTGGTTTYTTTATTCATTTTCTCCTGTTTTCCTGCTCTCTTCATAGTGATTAGAAAACAAAATTCAATCACTTAATCAGTTATTTAGTTGATTGTGAAATGAACAG